CAGCACTTTGGGAGGCTCAGGCAAGAGGATTGCCTGAGTCCAGCAGTTTGAGACGAACCTGGGCAACTTGGCAAGATCTTATCTCTACAATAAACCAAAAAATTAGCCGGGCGTGATGGCTCATGTCTATAATCCCAGCACTTTGGGATACCTAGGTGAGAGAATTGCCTGAGCCCATGGGTTTGAGACCAGCCTGAGCAACTTGGTAAGATCTCATCTCTACAATAAATAAAAAACTTAGCCAGGCATGGTGGCATATGCCTGCAATTCCAGCTACTTGGAAGGCTGAGGCAGAAGGGTCACCTGAGCCCAGCATGTTGAGACTGCGGTGACTGTGAGTGTGTCACTGCACTCCAGCCTGGATAAGAGAGTGAGACTCCAACTCAAAAAAAAAAAGAGAACAGGCCGGGCTCGGTGGCTCAGCCTATAATCCCAGTACTTTGGGAGGCCGAGGCAAGTGAATTGCCTGAGCCTGTGCGTTCGAGATCCACCTGGGAAAATTTGGCGAGACTTCGTCTCTACAATAAATCAAAAATTAGCCAGACATGGTAGCGCATGCCTGTTGTTCCGGCTACTTGGAAGGCTGAGGTGGAAAGATCACCGGAGCCCTACAGGTTGAGGCTGTGGTGACCGGGATTGTGCCACTGCACTCCAGTCTGGGTGACAGAGTGAGACTCCAACTCAAAAAAAAAAAAAAAAGAGTCAGAATCTTTCTCTGTCGCCCAGGCAGAATGCAGTGGTGGGATCATGACTCACTGCAGCCTTGAATTCCTGGGTTCAAGCAATCCTCCTGCCTCAGCCTCCTGAGTAGCTTGGACCACAGGAGTAAGCCACTGTGCCCATCCAAGAAGTCCTTTTTCTCTTGCCAGGGTCACCCTTCCAAGGTCTTTGGTCCCACGACAGAGGCCACATTTAGGAGCAGCCCTCAAGGTGGGCAGGAGGAGGCTGGACACTCAGGCCCCTTCCTGCTGCCAAGTGCACACTGCAAAATAAATCCTGATAGAGTCCAGGTCTGGGGTGGTGTGAGGTGTATGTGCATAAAGGGAGCCTGTTCCAAAAAACAGGGATAGGACTCTAGGCCTCAGCCATTGCCCGTGTTCCAGGGGAAGGGAGCTGTCCTCTCCTGGCCTCAGAGTCTCACCACCTGTGCTAGAGAGCCTCAGAGGTGAGGCCTCCATTCCACCCCAGCCTTCCTGCCTTCACCAAAAACTGTCTTGGTCTCAATGAAGGGTTAGTTCCAAGCCTTGGAGCTGACATCACAGAGTGCAGGGATTCCCCTCACTAGCCCATGCCGCAAACAGGGGACTCAAATTCCTTCTGTCCTTGATCTGCTCTGTGATCTGGAATGAGACTTCCCCTCCCTGATTCAATACTGATGTCACATCTGGGGCATCTAACTTCTGCCCCTGAGCTCAGGATTCCCAGATAAGCCCATTGGAGTGCCCCACAGGTCAGAGCTGTAGCAGGGCTTAGAAAACAACCAGAAAAGTCATGGATGTTCGTTTTCTTTTTGGTCCAGGTTTTAATTTCCCTCTGTAACAACAGTGGCAATATTCGAAGATCGCTATCACTTTTCAGTGAGGAAACTGACGTCTAGAGCAGGCCAGTGACTTACCTGAAGTCACCAGAAGGTTTAACTGCACACTGGAGTCTGGACCTCAGGCTTTCTGGTTTCTTTTATCCTCATCCCTCACCATATCACTTCCATTTCCTGCTGGCACAAGCCCAAGCCTCAGCCCGTCAGCCAAGACCCACCTGTGGAAACTAGGGGTTCAGGTAGCCAGACACTGGCCCAGACCCATGCTCCAAAAATATGGATAGAGCCTGGCCCTCTGTTTTTGTGTTTGTTTGTTTGTTTGTTTGTTTTGAGTTGGGGGTCTCGCTCTGTCACCCAGGCTGGAATGCAGTGGCATGATCATGGCTCACCATAGCTTCAACCTCCTGGACTCAGGCAATCCTTCCACCTCAGCCTCCCAAGTAGCTTGGACTTATAGGTACGTGTCCCCACACTCTGCTAATGTTTTTATTTTCTTTAAATACAGGATGTCACTATGTTGCCCAGGCTGGTCTCAAACTCCTACACTCAAGTGATCCTCCAAAGTTCTGGGACTACAGAAATGAGCCACCACATCCGGCCTCCCTCTGGGTTCCTGCCAAGGATCTACTAGATGGCAGGGCCATGCCCAGCAGCCCAGGTGCCTCCCTTCCATTCCTGTAACGCAAGGCCAGTGCCCAGCTGGAGTGGAAGGTGGCAGTGAGAACCCATGACTCAGGTTAGTCCCAGTGCTGCTCCATCCAGGCAACTTACATGTCACCAGTCATGACTGGAAACTGGGTCAGGTGCTGATGGCAGAAGGCAGATTTGTTCAACAATGATTCATTAAAAGCCTACTATTGTTAGCTTCTGGGGCCATATCACAACGAACACAACAGGCACAGATTTCCACCTTTGTGAAACACATATTCTAATGCATGGAGATAGGAAAAAAAAAGTGGACAAATGTTAGATATCTAAAATATATCAATACTAGGCAGAAAAATAATGCAGGAAGGGGATGGAAAGTGCCAGGGGCAGGTTGCATTTTTTAAGTGGGATGGTCAGGGACAGCTCCATTTGGGAAGGTGACGTTTGAGTTTTTCATTTTTTGTTTTTTTAGAGATAGGGTCTTACCATGTTGCCCAAGATGGAAGGCAGTTACTGTTCACGGGTATGATCACAGTGCATTATAACCTCAAACTCCTAGGCTCAAGTGACCCTCCCGCTTCAGTCTCCTGAGTAGCTGAGACTTCAGGCATGTACCACCATGATTGGCATGAGCAGAGATATCAAGGAGAGAGTGAGCTTTGCAGGTATCTGGAAGAAGAATATTTCAGCAAACAGAAGGAACAGCTAGTGCAAACGCCCTGAGGCAGAAGTATGCTTGGCATGTTCTAGGAACAATGAGGGTGCCAGAGTGAGTAAGATTTTTTTAAATGTATGTCCATTTGAGACAAGATTTATGATAGGAAAGGACGATCCATTCAGGGGGGAGTCAACGACAAGGGGTGTGAATACAGAGAGGACTGGGGAGAGGGAACTCCAGAGAAGGCAGCGAGAACATTCCAGGCAGAGAGAACAGCTCATGCGATGGCAAGGAAGTATGGGGTGGCTTATGGCGTTCACACAGGAGAGAATGGGGGTGAGGGGCGAGGCTAGGGTGGGGGAATCAGCTATAACCAGGTCGAGAAGGGCAGAAGAAGCAGCAAGGGCCGGGGGGTCTCTGAGAGCCCCAAGAGAAGGTTGGAGGGCCAGGAGGTTGTGGTCTGGGAGCAGGAGATGAAGTTTCAGATGTGAGAGGTCCAGCAATTCTGGGTGACGGCAGAGGGTGGGAGGGGCTGTGGAAAGAGCTGGAGGGAAGGCGCCTGTGGTCAAGAGGGCACACGGGGTGTCATGGCTTGAGGATGACAACAGGATTTGGGGATGAGCACAAGACAAGCCAGGCCTCATCATCAATCTTGGGATACATGGAACTCCTTCCCCTGCTTCCTCCTCCTCCCCCATACCATGTGGGATGCCCCAGCTGCATGGGATGTGGGGGGATGAGCTGCCACCACTGGGAGGTACTACAAGGGAAACCCATTTCGGCTTGGGAGGCTCTAGCCTAGCCTCCTCCGGAGGCCCCGTGGGGCTGCTCCTGGGACAGACACTGGTACTTCCCTGGCACTCGGTCCCGGGTGACCCTGATGTCAGTGCCCAGGCATGGCTGAGGAGGCAGGGAGTGGGAAGGGGAAGCCCCCTTGGTTTCTGTCTCACGGGCAGGGACCCAACAGGGAATCCCCGCAGGTCCTAAAAGGAAAGTGGCAGCACTGGGTCTCGGGGAAGACCAAGAAACCCCATCCTCTGCCTGAAGATGGGAAATTCAAGGTGGGGCTGAGGGCGGGGCTGTGCTGGAAGAGATGCAGCCCAGCCCTGACAGTGGTCTTTACAGAGCAGAAATACTGAGATCATTCGGGGTCCTGGCTGAGCCCTGGTCCTGTCCTCTCACAGCTCCAACCTGGACACAGGATGAACCCTGATCCTGGCCATTGACTGAGCTCTTGTCTCAGCCCAAGCCTGAGCCCTCACCTGAGTCACGGCCTCAGTCAGAGCCTTGGCCACAGACTGAATGCTGTTTCTGATCTGGAGCACTAGATCCAACCCCAAAAGGTCACAAGCAGAGCCCAGGTCACTGATAGCTCTGACCCCAATACAGACAGTTGGGCCATTGGTCCCAGAATAGGCTCTTTGTCCAGTCCTAGACCAAGGCTTGACCATGGATTATGAACGGAGCTTGAATCTTATAACTGACTCTGGTCAAAGACCTTGGCCCCAGAGGGAGCTCAGACCCTGGTCCCAGGTATCACCTTGGGCCTGGCCTTATCCAGCCCTGAGCTTAGTCACATTCTGAGCTCCAATCCAGCACTGATACTGTTAGACCAAGCCTCTGCTGGCCCCATAAAAAGGCTCATCCCAGCCACCCACTGAGCCCTGACTCCCCTTGTAAACCCCCCCTCCCCCCAGCCATCTGGTTAACCAGAAGAGTAAGGATGACTCGAAACCCCAAGTCCTCTCTGGCGGGCAATCCCCTTACCTGGTCATTCTTTTTTTGAAGGGCGGTAGGTAAACTGGTGATGGCCCTAGGATGGTGGTGGGTGACAGAGCAGAGAAGCAGGAGGGGGGTTGAATCTCTGGGACATACTGATGAATAGGGCTGGGTGGCTTACCCGTGAGCAGGGCATTGAGGGAAAGGCTGGACCCAGGAGCTTAGCAGTGGGTCTGGAGCTTGGATTAACCGAAACTCCAGCTTCCCGTCACCTCCCACCCCCTCCGGGAAGGGAAATTACATTTCCCCATTTTAGCAAGGGGTGGCGAGGAGGGAAAAGTGAGTTAATGCAAAGCTGAAAGTACAAGTAGGACGGAAAGTGAAACCGGGTGCAGCCCCCAGTATAAGACCCCCCCTACCCAGGAGATGGCTGACCAAAGAGGCTGGGCCCCGACATGGGCCAGACGGCAGGCGATCTTGGCTGGCGTGAGTGTGAGGCCAGGGCTGGGGCAGAGGGGTAGGGGGCTTGACTGAGTTTGGGCAGAGGATGGGTGAGCTTGGCTGGTGTGAATGGGAGCCAACGGCTGAGGGGCAGCAACTTGGCCAAGACTAAGGACTTGACTGGCTGAGGGATGGAATGAGGCTGGCATGGCTGGGGTGGTGACCTGGGGCAGTAAGGTAGTGGTTTGGTCCTGGGCTGGGCAGAGAATGGGACAGTTTGGCTGGCATGCATGAAGGGACAGGGACAGATGGCAGTGATTTGACCCAGGGCTGGGCAGAAGATAGGAAGTCAGAAGATAGGGAGGGTCGGACAGGTAATTTGACCAAGATCAGGACCAGGATGATAAATGAAGACTTAGAAGTGAATGGACAGGGGCCACAAAGCATAGCTAAGACTGAGACTGGGGCAGCCTCTTGGATAGGGGGGGGTCTTATACTAGAAGAGCAGTAGGAGGCGTTGGCACAAGTGGGATGCTGAGGCCAAGGGGCAGCTTCCTAACTGGGTCACGGTCTTTAGTTTGAAGTTTAGAAGGAGGTCCAATCTGCCACTGGTGGCTGAAGAACTCAGGGGCTAGAACCAGAGTTATAAGGGAGTAGGCAACATGCCAGGTAGGGGACAAGGGCTAAAGGTTCATGACAGAGCCTTCAAAGGCCAAGGTCAAGGACCCAGGATTGGCTGCAGAGGGCAGGGAAGGGTCTGGGGTTCCAGAGCTCAGGTAGGAGATGGCACATCTCAATTCTGTTTGGGTTATGTCCACTAGAGCCTGGGGTACCCACTCTGTCCCCAGTATAGGGCCAGGAAGAACCCCACTCTCCGTTAAGTCTCCGGGATATCAGAGTGGCCCCCAAGCCAGAGAACCTGAGTGTCAAAGATTTTAAGCATTGCCTACCACATCTAGAAGTCCATGAGGGAAGTGGATATTCCCAGGATAACTTCCTTAACCTTTATTTAGAAGATATTTTGAGGTGCAGAAAGCTCAAGGGTAAAAGATCAAGAATGGATAAGGAAGAGGCAGGGAGAGGAGGGGGAGCAGGGATGGACTTATGGCCAGTTTTGGTTTGTGTTTCTAGAATTGTGTAACTAGATTTCCTCTCCCTCAGAGAGAAACTGCTGAACACTGCCCTCTTCCCAGAGCCCCCACCCCGTTGCCCCTCTTTCCTCTTTTCAGGAAAACACAGGGTGGGGAGCACCCTCAGGAATCGGCCAGTCTGACTCCCCCATTTTACAGATGGGAGCCCGAGACACAGAGATAAGAGGTGGAAGGGAAGACCAGGATTGTTCAAGGGAAGACCAGGATGAGAAACAGAGCTTCTTCCTCCCCCTCCTAAACCCCCATCCCTCCCACTCCTACTCTGTGCATTTGCCCTGGGCAGGTTCCACTGCACAGTGACCCACCTGCTTTGACGGAGGCTGGATCAGTCCATCCTTCTGACTTCCTGGGAGTGAGTCTCCAGCATTGCCAGCCCACCCCCGGGGCTCTAGTGGCCAGGTCAAGCCATTAGAGCCACCTGGCTGAGTTCGAGGAATCCCTGGCAGAACAGTGTGTGCCCACTACTGGGACAGGTGGCTGCCTCCTCTGAGTTCCTGGGAGAAAGCACATGGGCTCTGTATTGAGAAAGATCTGAAATCCAGTCTTGGCTCCCCACCCTCTGGACTCTGCCTTGGGCAAGTCAACCTCATGGAGCCTCACTTTCCTCATCTGCAAAATGGGGAGAAGAGTAACATCCAGACTGCCACATGCCATTGTGCAGGTTGTTCACTGACAAAGGCACTTGGTAATCCGGGTGTGGTGTCTCATGCCTGTAATCTCAGCACTTTGGGAGGCGAGGTAAGTGGATTGCTTGAACCCAGGAGTTCGAGACCGGGCTGAGCAATATAGTGGGACCTCAACTCTACAAACAATATAAAAAATTAGCCGGGCATGGTGGCGCACACCCCTCATTCCAGCTACATGAGAGGCTGAGGAGGGAGAATTGCTTCAGCACAGGAGTTCGAGGCTGGTATAAGCTATGATTGTGCCACTGCACTCCAGCCTGGGCAACAGAGTGAGACCCTGACTAGAAAGAAAGAGAGAGAGAGAGAACGAGAGAGAGATAGAGAGAGAAGGAAATGAAAGGAAAAGAAAAAAAGTCACTTGACCAAGAAAATTTGTGGGGGGGGGCCAAGATTCGGCTTCTGGTCTACTTGCAAAAGTGGGTACTCTGTACAGAGGCATCATATGGAGGCCTCACTAGTCCCCAGTGTGTGTGTGTGTGTGTGTGTGTGTGTGTGTGTGTGTGTGTGTGTGTGTGTGTGTTGGAGTCTCATACTGTTGCCCACGCTGGAGTGCAGTGGCACATTCATTGCCACCGCAGCCTGGGCTCAGGCAATCCTTCCACCTCAGCCATCCAATTAGCTGGAACTACAGGCATGTGCTACCACATCCGGCTAATTTTTTGATTTATTGTCAAGACGAGGTCTCTCCAAGTTGCCCAGGCTGGTCTCGAACCCCTGGGCTCAGACAATCTTCTCACCTCAACCTCCCAAAGTGCTGGGATTACAGGTTTAAGCCATTGTGCCCGGCCTTAAAAACACTATGGATTGATCTGTGTATTTAATTGTTTTTTGTTTTTTTTTTTTAGTTGGAGTCTCACTCTGTCGCCCAGGCTAGAGTGTAGTGGTACTCACGGCCACTGCAGCCTCAACCTGCTGGGCTCAGATAATCCTTCCGTCTCAGCCTTCCAAGTAGCTGGCACTACAGGCATGCGCCACCACACTCAACTAATTTTTTTATTTATTGTAGAGACGAGGTCTCACCAAGTTGCCCAGGCTGGTCTCAGACCTGTGGACTCAGGCAATTCTCTCACCTCAGCCTCCCAAAGTGCTATCATGGCTTTGAGGGGGCAACACAATGATACCTGTGAAAGTGCTGGCACAGTGCTCACATACAGTGCTCCCACATGGTGCAGGCTCAGGAACCCATGCACTCCTCCTTCTCCTGAGTTATTGAGCTCTCTCCTCATCTTGCCCACCTCTCTCCATCTCTCCAGGGCTCAGCCTGTTGCTGCTGTTCTTGCTCCTGGTGCAAGCTGGTGTCTGGGGATTCCCAAGGCCCCCAGGGAGGCCCTCCCTGAGCCTGCAGGAGTTGCAGAGGGAGTTCACAGTCAGCCTGCATCTCGCCAGGAAACTGCTCTCCGAGGTTCGGGACCAGGCCCACGGCTTTGTGAGTCCCCCTAATGCAGCTGGTGCTGGGGATGGGCAGACCCCAATCCTCTCCTGCCCCCATTAATAGCCCTTGCCCCACAGGCCGAATCCCAACTGCCAGGAGTGAATCTGGACCTCCTGCCTCTGGGAGAGCAGCTCCCCAATGTCTCCCTGACCTTCCAGGCCTGGCACCACCTTTCTGTGAGTGAGGGGGCTGGTGGGGTAGGTAGGAGACTGGAGATAGGCCAGGGCTGCCATGTGGAAGGTGGAGTTGGGGATTGAGGTGGAGGTGGATTGTGGATAGAATCTGGGTGAGAGCCGGGCTCAGTGGCTCAGCCTGTAATCCCGCGCCTTTGGGAGGCTGAGGTGAGTGGATTGCCTAAGCCCGTAGGTTCGAGACCCGCCTGGGCAGGCGAGACCTCATCTCTACA